AAATCTAGTTGAATTAAACTATGAAGCTGCTCAGTGGAAGCACAAGGCAGTCTGGACTAGGAAGTACATGGAAGCCAAGAGAGGGCACGGGTTACTCCAAATGTGGAACGACCACGAAATCGACATAACAAGAAAGACATCCAACTCCTATGAGGTCACGACAGAGGATATCCTCAGAGCAGCGAGTGCTGCAGCCAGAAAACCCTCGGCCCGTCTGCCCGACAGCCAGTTCCTTCGAGCACTAGGCACGGACGATGTCTATACTGCACCTCCTCAAACAAGAGCATTATCACTTAGGGCAGCAGAAGAATGGGAGAGATGTATTTGTGAAAACCAAGCCTTCTCCATCCTGCACCAAGCCCAAGAAGGCCGACAGGAGCTCATTAAAAAAGACGGTGGAGAAATGCTAGTGTCAATCGTCCTGGACCGACCGCTTAATGAAGCTAAGGCACTGGTGGAAGACCCGGACAGACTCATCTCGGAAATTACGGCAATACTTGAAAGCAAACAAGCACACCCATTGCTTGACCAAATGGTAAATCCGGATGTAAGAGATGATATGCCCATAGCAGACTTCACCGCAGCCGCTTCCTCGAGAGGATTCGGCCCCCCACGGAGTACCACACAAGCAGAAGTACCACAATCTCGGTTTCAGTAGCGTGATCTTAGCAGATGTTGCCAACGTGGGAGACCCACGACTGGTAATGCCCGTGCACATAGCCCATACTACCTTTTCAATTGGTTAAAATTGTTTGGTTGTATTTACAAAAAAGGGGGCCAACATGGGAGACCCATGACTGGCCCGTCGAACCGTGCAATGCAAGCTACGTGCTGAATGGCTTGTCCCTCCCCCCCCGTCTCCTCTGTTGTGTTTTTGTTTCCGGTCTGTGGGGGGGGTCCTTTTTTCTGGTTTTGGTGGCAGTAGACTAGAACGATGTCAAAGTACATCTCGCCATGGCACCTGTTGCTGTTATGCTCAATCTTCGCGCTGATGCCCTGACAGCAGCTTACCGCGGAAATAACCAACGTGGGAGACCCACGACTGGTAGCAGAACAGCCTACTGCCTGTCACCAACTGGTGCTACAGCTGTCCAATTGACACAGCCTGCCACTACTGTCATCTCCCCCCTGTTTTGCTTGCTGGCTTACAATGGAAGAAGCTGCTGTCAACCGTTTGGCAACATCAATTACTCAATTGACACTGTGCCAAGTCACTACAGACGAGATTGATGCTGCCACCAAACTTCTCGACAAGGCATGTCAGAAACTCCGAGGTATCCCAGACGTCCCGCCTCAGAGAATCACTGACCTTGAGACTGCCACACGTCAGCTACGTCAATTGAGCTGCATTTTGGATAGTTGCACAATTTCTGCCAGCTACGAAGTTAGTCAGGCGCAAAAAGCACTGCTGCTCATGCCGCGTACAGCCAAAGGTGCAAGCACATCATCTGAGGAATTGAACGCACAGGTGTCACTGCCAACAGATGATGAATATCATGCGTTTCAAGATCAAGATCAACTCCAAGAGCACTAGGGAACTGCCCAAGGATTATGATGATTGGAAAAGAACTACTGAGCGGATTCTGAGAGTGCCCTGAGAGCCTTAGGTGCTGGACATCACTTCTCACTCTAGGTCCTGTTCACCATCTGTTTCACACTTGTCTCACCACTTCAGTTGCTACACGGCATTGTCGTTGCTGGCAACTTAAGTGTTACCTCGTGAGTGGTCATGCCTGCACGGCTTGCTCTATCTGATCTCGGGGCTCCTGGCTGGGGGGAGCCCTGGTTTCCGCATAGTGCTGTTTTGCTTTACTCACACCTGGGTATGGCGATGTCTGTGATGTTTGTGTTTTCGGTTCTTCCTTTGTTTACCTGCCATACCAATACTAGCGATGATACAATGATATCACCGCTTACTCAATTACTGACGTTGCATAACTGGTCTGCCGGTCACTTTCCCCCTTCTTGGTTTGTTCTTGTGCTGTGTGTTTGGTTTGTTTTGCTTTGCGTGTTTTTTTGGTTGTGTTTCTCGGTTCTTGGTTTGTGACGGAATCGTGACGGCTTATTGGACTATGTATCGGTCCTCCACCAGTTCACTTTTGGGGCCACTCAAACAGCAGACGGCCACGTCTATGCGTTAATTAATCAATTCACTTATCTCTGCAACATGCAATCGAACGTGTTGAACGACCTGGCGGAAGCCAAGAGGCGTCGGAGGGAGAAAAAATATCCATCCTCTAGCTTCTGATGGAAACTCTACATTCACCTTCCTACAGCATTTGGCAAACATTTCCTGCACTCTACTACACCAGCTAGCCATGTTTTCACCTTCTTTTGCAGCTAACTGGAGAACTTCATGAAGGCACTCTGCTGGGTGATCGTGTTTCACTTTATCCGGAAAACGTTCTTCCAGGGCACTCCACACATGTTGATCACCTCCTACCTCAGTCAGTTGTTCTAAGGTCGTGCTCCACTCTCCAAGGCCAAGCCGTCGAGGAGAGTGAACACCCAAGGACTTCGCTGTTTTTCACTAAGGTCTTTGGTCGCGGCCATCTTCCCAATTTCCATTTCTTCAATTCTTTCCCATCGAGGCTCTCTCCTGAAAACCTCTTGAACTGTCCGCCACCGCTGTCTGACTTCACGTCAGCCATGGCGCTGCTTTACCTCCTTTACCTTCCTAGGTATCCGGAGACCCCTTATTGGGGCTTCGCTACCAGTTTGGTAGCTCCACGGAACCTTGGGCCCCCCTGGGCCCACAAAAGCCGCCTTCCTTGTTTTGCACGCCTGAGCAATGAAAGTTGGCTACAGATGGAATGGAAGTTGATCCTGGTCCAAAGTGATCCCTGAGCTGCAAGTGACATGGTGCTGCTTCAATAATATATATATATATATTATATACACATTATATATATATATATATACATACATACATAGATGCATATACTAGTTATTTTTCCGGGATTCCCATGGCATCGGCTGGATGACCGGTGCGAACTATTCATTCCGTGTTTTTCCCGAGAGCGACTGAGAGCAGGGTTGTTCGAAAAAAGGAACTGAGATAATGTTGTTAAAGCAATAATAATCTTACGTCTGCACGTCTTACATCTTCACATCTCGTCATATCTGACATCTTCTCTCTCTCTCCTCTCTCTCTCTCTCTCTCTCTCTCTCTCTCTCTTCTCTCTCCTCTCTCTTTTCTTTCCTTTTCTCTCCAGTCTGCTAATTTCTCTCTGTTCTCCTTTGAAATAAGGGCTGCTCGTCAAAAACTTACGTAAAAATTGCGATTTTGAGTTGACTTTCGCAACCTTTTCGCACGACATGAGGTTCAATTGTCAAACACTGAGGAAAACATGTGATTTGATTTGGGCTGCGAGTGGGTTCCCAAGCATAATATGAGATTTTGATGGTAGCTGTTGGCAAAAAAAATACTGCGTCAAAAAGTGACAAAAACTGATGAACATTGCAATTTTTGAGGGTCCGCGTCGCGACAAGGCCGGGAGAGGGTTCCCAAGCATAAGCTTCCATGTTGGAAACCTCGAGTGCTGTAAAATGATAGCTATGTTAGTGGGTTTCCTTCCATGTTGCAAACCTCGAGTGCTGTAAAATGATACCCAGGTTAGTGGGTTCCTGTTCAATTTTTTCTTATTTGTTTATTGTTGATGCTGTCAGCTGGCTCAGGGTCTCTGGGGAACATGCTGGTTTGGCAGACAAAAATGGTGGCTAGGTTAGCTTTGTCAAATTTGAAAACCCACAACTCGTTTGTTTACCGGAGAGACCCTCTGATAGTTTCACAGATTTTAACAGCTATAAAAAATGAGAATTTAAACTATTTAAACATTTTAATTTTCGATAGCTATATTCAAAATTATTCAATGACCAGAGAAAAACACAAAAAAGGGGAACCTCCCAAATATAAGATCATACGCCCAAACCCAATGATAAACCCAGGATTGGTGTAGACAACCCATTATAATGTCGTACACCCAAGACCATAAAACATTCCCGATTGTTTACCAGAAATGACTTTAAAAAAAGTAACAACAATCTCCAAAATGAAATATCAATATTTTGGGGACCACCATGGACCACCTAATAAACTAGTGTCTTATTCAGTTTCGAACTGATGAACTATTCCATTTTCTCTGAATGTCGTGGCGAACATACCGAACTCACTTCGCCGAGGTCGTGAATGACGCTGGCGCCGCAGGCGCTGTGCTGTGGATATCCGACATGGACATCCGGCCACCGGTGCTGTGGAAAACCCCTGCAGTATATTGATTTCAGAACTTGCCACGGCTGTTGTGATGGTTCCCTTTGCTTTGTGCTCGTGTAAATTCAGAGCCGTGCAACTATAACGTCATAAATTGTCATAGTAACCACTGAAGCGTCAGAAGTCATATAGATCATCACAATACGCCATCGGCTGCATCTTGCGAGGGCCAGTTTCTGGAAGACTTCTTAGCTGCAACTCCAGTATTCCAATTTGTTGCGAGCCAATTGGCGCGGCAAGACCAGACATGCTCCTCGTTGTGACACCGGTTGTCCACAAGAGAACAAAATGACATGCTGCGGGGTGGAATTGCAGGTTCCTATCGGTTTGTTGACATGGGGGATGATGGTAGAGTAGGTGAGTGATTGTTCAATATCGTATAGTTTATGATAGTATATGATAGTATATGTATCCAGCTGAAAAGTCACTTTGGGCTAAACGGCTAAATTCGTCATGTGTGCAAGATGGGGCTGGGTCAGAGAGCATCATCCAATTTGGAGCCATACACGTGGGCAGACTATATTATATGATGATATATGATGTAAAATTTGCAATTCAACCACTTTAAGGGGCAGTTTTCACCCAAAAAAGGTAGCAAAAAGTGGGGATGGAACTGGGTGGAACCAACCAAAGCCAAAGATTTTTGGGGTACATCCTTTTCAAAGCTCTTCAAGATCTGTTAATTTCTTTCACATCCGTGCGTTTGGCCTTGATTCACAGGGCCTTCAGTGAGTTGCGACGAATTGTAATCTTTGGGCCGGAATGGAATTATACCTTCCTTGGGTTGGAATGTCATGTCAAAGGTTTGTCCAAAATGGTTTTTTGAATGGGGAACATGATGGACCATGTGATGCAACGGGACACCCTATCGGCAAAGCCATGAGGTGTAAACGGTTGACTCTTTGCCGCAGCATCGCCAGCGTTACGATGGGACTTGGCGATGGGTGCTCCGTGTCCGCTTACCGTACCGTTCGGAACCGAGATCCCCATGCGGTCGATTTGGGTAGGGCTTGGAAGGCTGGCCGCTCAAACAGAACACTCGCAGCAGTGTGAAAGGGCGGGTCATGCTTCGAGCCCACACCTGTAAGAGCAACTGCATGATGTGGTCTCATATGCGGATGGGTCAAGACCTATTACGGCCATATTTAGAGGATTAAACATCCATTAGCCAGCTATTTTGGGGTTCACCAGGTACCAGGCTTACGACTCATAGTGCCGTCATAGCCAGATAAAAATTCACAGACGGAGCAGTGGAGCTCAGCTGCTGGGTGAACCTGGCAGATGGAGCAGGATTTGATCTAGCCACATTAATGTGGCTCAGCCTGGGGAACACCCAGTGATGCTCAATTTTTCCATTATTTTTTTCCCCAAAAAGGGCACCCTCGACTCGAACACCTGAAGTGCCATAAAATTCAACGTGAAACAGTGGGATACTCAGCCCCAGCACGAATCGACAGGGCGAACCGAGGTCATCTCATGGTAAATCTGCTGTTATCAGCCCGCTGCCCCAGACTTTGGATTCTCATCAGAGCAATCCACCAGAGGCCCGAGCCTTCTTGAGAATAGCTAGCAACCGACAAGATTGCTGCTTAATATGGTTATTATTGGCTATATAGTCTTCACTCAATGTCTCATGAGAACCATCGTTAAGGCTCATGAGAACCGGTAGTGAAGGCGAGTAGGAACCTTGTCCGTTATCCTCTATGTGTAGGATGGTACCTCGGACGCTCGTGTGGCATGTCTTGGTGTGTTTAAACCCAATGGTAACAGTAAACCATCCCCAGTCCAGCCCAAAAATATTGCCACATGGGAGAGCACGATCAACTAGCACCCTCCCTTTGGGGATGGTTCGTTGTTGCCATTTGGTGAAGATTTGTGGCATTGGAGGTTGACCCATCACCCCCGTATATCCCAGAAGTATCCCCTTGCATCCCCAGTCAAACCCAATTGGCTAAGGCAGTCATCGTCCTCAGCATCTGGACACCCATTGCAGGTGCTGGACAGGACGGCAATTCGCGGGAGTCGCGAGTCGCGAGGAAACGGATGATGTCGAAGTATGTTGAATCTCAAGAGCACACGATGATTGGCAGATTATATCATATTATTATTTATTATAGATTACTATAGATTCTTATAGATTATTAAAGATCACAATAGGATTTTATGATGGTTTATGTATGTTCAAGTATGTTGAAGTGATATGTTGCGTTCCATGTATCTGCTGTTCGGCTGTGGGTCAAGTGGAGGGTCCCCTTCATCAACTCCCGCAAGGATGACTGCACCGACCAGTTAGAGGTGCATCGACCTGCAACCTGGGAGTGACCTTGAGGGACTTGGATGGGAGTCTTATATTCGGCCCTTTGAAAGGGCCATCCTCTTTGTCCTTTCCATATCTTTCCATTAGTTCCAAATAATTCATTTGTGTTTTTTTTATATTGGGCGTATCCCCTGTACCAATTTGAGTTGCATTACAGCCGTCTTCTTTCCGGAAGAAAAAACCACGTGCCTGGATGAGGTTAATGCGGCGCATGCGGTCTTCCTACAAACGGCTTTGGCCACAGAGTGGGGAGCCCCGGTAGAACATCCAAAACTTCAAGCTCTTTTGGGTTTTGACACACACACACACTTGCTCAGAACTGTCGTTGCGAATTATGTTGTGGAATACATCAGACGTGCAAAACACCAACAGCAATTATATAACACGATGAAATGACCGATATATATATATATATTAATATATATATATATATATACATATAATATATATATATATTCACAGTAGACGTTGACCGTATAAAACAACAGCGATAAAATATATGTCACCCAGCTGCGACTTATATGTGCCCAGGGGCGGGACTATACATACATATATATATATATATAAATAATGCAGGTACGTTTTCACAGGAACATTGCGGCATCTTCGTTGGCCGCTGACTGCAATGTTCCCCAGCGGCCCCCTGCAGTAATAAGAAGTTGTACATCTATTCAGATGGTACACACACACACATAGATATCCAGCTATCAGGATAATTTTGGCCCGTTGATGATGGAATCATCATAAATATTGTTGAGAGAATTGCAAGAATCCCGGTCAAATCTTTGGACGGGTCGCGTTCAAAAAAGGGTCAAGGATTTTATCTTCAGGAGGTTCTTCACCAAGATACTTTTTCATCTTCCGATAGTGGGAAGCCAGCATTGAGGCCCAGCCAGAAGACTCCGAGAACGGTTCCAGAAACGGTTCCGTCGCTCTCGGTGTTAGAGGTGAAGGCGCCCAAGACCCGTGACGGCCCACGTGGTCACAGGGATGGCAGAGGGTGATGACTGTGACATTTAAACATCACCCTCGCCCTGGCCTCTTGTCTGTTATATGTTGGGACCATTACACCGAAAATCATCATGGTTGTGGTCATCAAATCACTAACATTTGTATCTAGGCATTGAACTTTGACCCTTTCCGCTCCACCTGAAATCGTCAGCCAGAAGCATTCCTCCAGCGATGGTTTGGGGCCACGATATGTTGCTTAGTTTTTTTTTTAATTTTTATTTTGGTAACGATACCTCACAACAAACTTACCAACAATGCTGCTTCCTCCTTGGACACCCTTTCAGTTACCACATTTTTTTTCCGTTGGATTATTTGGATTTGTGGATTGTATAAAGTATCAACATACACTGCGCCTCATATTTTTCTAGTTTTTGGTTATCTGATCCCTCCCGCTCCAACGGTTGGGCTGCATACAGTGGTTGAATGAGCCAGCCATGGTCCCCATTGGGCCATATTTCCTAGATTTTTAAGGACAAAACTAAATATCATATTACACTACAAGAAATAACATGGTTGGTTTTAGACATTTTAGACTTCCATAACGAAGTTTTGGCTAGATCAACAACCACTGAATGATCCCCGTTTTTTGCTCAAATCCAAATTTTCTTGAATAATACGTAAAGTTTCTCATTTCTTGGACGAACCACACCCATATACCACATCTGTGTGTGTGAAACCCCAAATCTTATGGTTTGTGATCAGTTTGACCACTCAAAGTGTGTTTGTTTTTATCGACCCATCCCATATGGTGCGTTATATATCTAAGCATATTCCCACTATATCATGCACGGTGGTGCCCACTACTTATTAAGTTTGGTTTAGAATTTATCCACAGAACTGAACTAACTTAGCGATTCCGAACTGCAGCATAACCTACACAGAAAACTCCTATGATATCCAATGGACTATACTAAGTTACTAGCATTTTTGTTGCTTCCTGTCATGTCCCACCATTTTTTGGATATGAATTTCTCAGTGAAGTTCCGGTTTTGGTAAAGATCGCCAGGCCACTGAGCTAATGAAGAGCCGATCTTCCTCGGTGGTGCCCTGGTGGTCTGAAAACTTTTAATACCCCAGAATTCAGGATTTCATTATCATTTTCCCATATTTTCCCATTAAGAAATAGCAATTTTGGCGGTATACACAGCATTTTCAGACACACCCTCCCAGATTTTTGTTGAGGAATTCCTCATCATTGGAATCATTTTCCCATCATAAACATACGTAGCAATTTTTGAGTGGTATAGTTAGCAATCATACGATTTTCAGAGCCAAAATAGATGAAAGGCATCATGACGTTGCGATGATATTCCATAACTGAGGATTCATAGATGCACTTCTCCAACATCTCATCTAAGGGCCGCATCCAAGATTCATTGACCCTATTTCTTCAACCAGTGCAGACAGAGGCTAAGGAAAACTATTGAAGAAAGAAAGAAAGAAAGCACCATAAATTGGCTAGACTATGTAAGTTTTGCTCAACAATGCCTAGGGGCCTAGTTAATACTAGCTGGTTGGGGTGATACGCTTGTCAATTCCCCATTCAAGTTTACAAAATGAAGAAACTGTCTCATGCATTCCATTCTATGCATGGACATATTTTGAGTGAATATTCTCTCATATAGGCTTTATTTAGGTATTTTAGATCTTACATTTTTCTAGTTTTTGAGAAAAATCACAGGGATTTATAAGCTATTAATGTATGACCATCAATTATCCCTGTTGATTACCATGTATCGGTTTGTCTGAAAATGGGGTACCCCTGAATCCATTGGTTGACCATCATTTCCCCCATAAAAATGTCTGGGTGCTGGCGGGCCTTGGGTTCCTTGGGTTCCTTGGGTTCCCTGGATACCCCTGAGGTGTTGTTAGTACTGGTCGTGGTGATGCTCTTTATGATCCCAGTGATAGTGTACGTACTATCCGTGGCTCAGCTTGTCCCTAGGGTCGATGGGGAGGCCAAGTCGTTGCTGTTCTGTTCCCGACAAAAATGGCAGAGTATTGGTCTTGAAAGATGCTCTTGGTACGAAAAGTTCTCAGATTTTCTCTGTGACAGTGCCGCCTCCGCCTCCTTCTCGATCGTTTTGCATCATTTTTCCGATTGCTTTCTTGTTCGATGAGATTTTTTGTCTCAAAAATGCACAGCCCAAACTGAAACTTCATCATATTTCATCATATTTCATCATCATATTTCAACCATGACCAATATTTCTCCACTTCGAGTTTCCCAGCAAAAATGATCCGCTTTGAGAGTTCAGGGGAGTCAGTTTTGGGAAAGGTCCATTTTGTAGCTGGAGATTTGGCATGGAATGAATTTCCAGTCTTTTGATGGTGCAACCGGGAAAATCTGGCATGAAAACCCAGAATGACTATATTATATATAATATATTATATATTATAAATTATATAGTATATACACTATATAATATATATATATATTATATATAATATATAATTATAATATATAATATATAATATACAATTTATAACATGTAATATATAATATATAGTATATAAGTAGTATATTCAGTTAAAAAATCATCCAGCTGGGAGAATTTTTATGATAGGTTCCAGATTCCAGGTCCATTGAATTTAGAGGGTGTACTGCTTGTGACAATTGTGGGATCCAACCACACCACTAACATGTTGAGTCCAGAAAGTTTGGCATTTCTTTGGGCCTATTCCAATTACCCTCTGGTTATTTAACATTTTAGCCATGGAAAATGGCCCATTTATAGATGATTTTCCCATTAACACCTCCATTTATAAGGGATTTTCCATGGCTATGTTAAATAACCAGATGGTATATAGTTGGGACCATGTACATAGTCCTTATGTAGTCCTAAAAGCACCGGTTTGATCATCAAGATTCGATGGACTTCTATGGGTTTTTTGTCGCCTTCCGCGCCCAGGAAGGCAGTAGCCACTTGGATGGTGACTGTGGCAGCTGGGTGAATCCCCCATTACCCAATCTTTGATCGCTATATATTTGATCACTATATAATTATAATAATGATAATAATAATAATAGTAATAAAAAATATGATAATAATAATAATAAATAAAAATGATAGTAGTAATATATACTATATATATACACCATTATTTACCCAATCTTGAAAATTTTGATCACTATTTCTCTTTGTCATGGGCCGGGCCCGGTCGCCTGGTTGGTCAAAAATCGGTGGATGTGGACATCTTCCGAAGCATGTGGTTTCCCTGGGGATCAGTCAAAACCACTCAAAAAGTAGCGGTACCACAGAGTTAGAGTTGACTCAGTTGACTGAGAGTATTTCTTGTGCTATGCCAATTTTGATGGTTACTACATACCCCAGTCTGTTTGTCATAGGTTTGGATTGGAACTAGATTAATCGGTTAACCATGCTTTACAGGTATTATAGCTATAGTTTGATGGGTAAAAACCAACTTGTGACCTTGCGGGGCACCATCTTGTAGTAACAACAAGCAAGGCCTTCGTCCCATGCTGCATCTGAATCCCACAAGTGATCAAACATCCGTTCTACTAAAGATGAGTGTCGCTGAAAACTGCGGCATACCGCACCCAATGGCCCAATTTTTTTAATGGGGCAAATGATGAGTAACCAGTGGATGGAATGGGGTACCCTATTTTCACAGGACTTCGCGATGAATTTTGGGGCACCCATGGTTTCAAGCGTAGACTTTCCGCAGGAACCAGTCCATTGACACTAAAATGATTCATCATAAAACCATACTATGGTCCCGCACAGATCCGGACGTTTGCCCGGAGCCTATGTTTTTTCAGGTAAACCAACCCGAGTTTTCAACAGACCCCCACGAAGTCGTGGAAGGGTTCTTGACGTAAATTTCTGGTTCTCCCGGATCCTAGGTTTTGTTTGGAGGGCGGCAGATTTAGATCCTTCTGCAATGATATAATATGATGGAAGGAAATATATAACACAATGGAAGAACATATAACATAATACAATCATTATAAGCCCTTTATACGGATTGTTTGAGGGGGTGGCAGATATATATCCTTCTGTAATGAAAATAACACAATATATCATATTTTGATTCAATATAGGGTACATCGTGGGAAACATGTAAAATTATGGAATCACTGGTAAAAATGATGGAAATATGGAGGGAATCCCTGTGGATTTGGATGAGAGAAGTGTGAAAAAACCGCGGCAAAAATGGGAGATGATGCGAGCATGGGCGAACGTCTCTGCGGGTATGGTCCACTATGGTTAGTGATACCCTTTGGTAAACTAACACAACTATGGAACATCACCATTTTTTTTAATGGGAAAACGGAAAACTCACTATAAATGGCCATTTTCCCATCATTTCCCATGGAGCCTCAGATTCCCAGGCACTGGCTCGGGGCACCGACTCTTGGAGGGCGCATCCAAGGGCAAAGGGGAGGCCGTCGGGGGGTTTTAGCCTCTGGTTATTACAAAAAGACGTTGTGTGAACTGGCAAATCACCATTTTTTTGAGGTCCAAGATCATGTTTATCATCTATAGCCATGGGTCATGGCTTTTATAGGTATGTTGAAAATTAATAGAGGGGAGCTTGGTTGTCTTCTTGGAGAACACACAAGGTTCCTGGCACATACTGAAGTCCAACAGAGAATGATAGTGATCTTATGAAAGATGGAAAGAGTCCCATGCAGATATGGAGGTTTCCTACACGGGGGGGCTCCAAACCATCCAAATTTAGAAAAAATTAGGCTTGAAACCAATGGTTTTGGGGATCCACCATTTTAAGAAACCACCATGTAATATGACCTATTTTTGTAGAGAACTCAGAGAACACATAAATTTTTGTTGGCGGTTTGAAGACCGTAGACATATGTTTGAAATGTTCCATTCTTGATCCTAAGTTGCCTCCATTGACTCATGTTTTCACAGGGCGAAATCAGAAACACCAAGCAACCACTTTTGCAATGATTGCTACTTGCAATATCCTAATTTTATTCCTTGTGCTTGACCCTTTGACCCATTACCGTCCAATACTTCTTTGTGCTTCATCGTTTGATCCAGATAGTTTTCCAGGTTTGTTTTGAGATTATATTATATTATATTATTTGTTGTGTAGTGTATGTAGATCCCCCGAAGCTGACCCTACCAGTAGTATGGCAAGAGAGATTTGTTCGGAGATCAATGTAGCACTTTTGGTATGAAGTGAGGCCAAGTTAGATTGGGGACGCATCCCTGTGCTGATCATCACCTGAAAAAAAAAACAGATCTAAACATCGTCCTCATCGTCCTCGCATATCCCATGAAATATCATAAATGTCCCATCAAGAACCAGCTTGTTGGTTAAACCTCGACAAAAAACACCCGGTTTTGCCCGCCAAGAGCTCGTTGCAATTCGTTGCAGGTGGGTCCCTCACACCCGGGCTCCTCGCGTCAGCTGCGAACACCTGGTGTGGCAGGCCGATGAATCATGGGGGTACCCCCAAATCATCCATGGATGGATTTTCCCTTCTATCCATCAGGGGTACCTCCATTTTCAGGAACCCCCCAAGTGATGGATTTTCTGGCACATGGAACTGATGACACCAGAGGATTTGGTGGGATTTGGTGAACTTCGGGATAAATCACCATTATTGAGCCATTATTCACCATTATTATGGGGATTTCACCATTATTCAGCCATGAAGTTGGATGACCACAGGTCGGATTTTTTCGCCATGAGGAGTTCACCCGAACATCGATCATCGTTTTCGATGCACCGGGAATGGAAGCAGACGGGAATTTCAACAGGAATTTTTGGAGTTTGAAACCGGATTTTTTTTAACGGATTGCATATGATTGCATATGATTGCATATGATTGCATATGATGGAAATGTCTTTTTTTTTATAGGAACCAACCTTGACGCTTGAGGATGACATCCTCAAAAAATGCGTTGGCTTCTGTCATAAACGAGTATTCAACACCATTTGACCAACGTGACACATGGGATATTCAGCGGATCAGGCGAAATCGGTGGAGAAATCAACACTAATTTGATCCCATATGTTTTTCCGCTTCCACCAAGAACTATAGCTTCAGTGAGACGCGTTTGTTTTTTGTTGGTTTTGCTTCTCACACCTAATGCACGACGTTTGGACCAATGGCTTGGTCGAATAAAAAAGCACGAGCTGCGGATCAGCTCTGATGGTGAGATTCCTCGTCCCAAGGATCCAGCGAAACGATAGCAGTTGAGTACGGAAGCATCGTAAGCCATCCATCATTGGATTGGTTTAAGGGAAAATCTACAGGAAACCATGGTTTTTACCATAAAATATAGGGCTTTCTTGTAAATTTTCCCATCATCCAATTCTATGAATCCATCAAGAATTTGGGTACACGGATCCATCCAACAAACATCGGTACCCAGCTTGTGGCGAGGCTCCCAGCGAATGAGCATTGACTCGCAGGTGCAGGACCCGATGGGTGAGCTTCGACATGTCGACCAGTACCAGGATGGCTGTTATATGCAGATCCTGAAACACCAGGATGTTATATGGCTGTTATATGGCTGTCTAATATCATCAAATGACTCTTTTGTTGTAACATACTGTATATAATTCATTATAATTCCTTTACGGATCAAATATGACATGGGGACCTGGGTACCGAAGAACAACATTTTTTGGCACTGATTTGGTACCTGATTTCGATGACCATGGCCGGATGGGGTGGGAGCCCCTGAAAAAAACGTGCCAGATCCAAGAAGCCATCTTGGTATCACAGGAATCCGTCAAACAGTACACTGCTCATGTATTTGCTCAAAGTTCAGGATCCGTCAAGATGTTGGATTTGACATAAACTGACATGATAGTTGTTATATTTCATGGGCTAGACGGCTAGACGGCTAGACTGTTGCCCGGTTAAAGCCAGACTTTTGAGTGGGGGCATAATCCCACTCATTACTGGCCAAAATTGCTGACAAAACGCCCTGGAACTCTTTGACATGGACAACATTCTGATACGTATATATATATATATGAATATAGTGGGATACCAGTGTCATTTGCCACTTCTCCATTTTCGTTGCCTACATGGGGATAGACCCACCCGAAATTTTCGCCAAGGCGGTGCTGCCCCCGACAGCGCAGCACTACTCGCCCTCGGACGGGCCTCCGGTGATTTGCCGCTGGGTTGAGTTCTCCGGGGTGGACCGGTCAGGGGGGTCGAAAATCTGGGTTCAGCCTGAGCAAAACGGTGCTTGAAGTGATTGAAATTGTCATACCAACTGATTTAAATGGTAAACCACTTTTTTTTTAAATATTTTAAATGGAGATTGAACTTCTTGAGATAGTATGGTGATATGGAGTTTGTATTATTGATGAGACTTGAACAACTTGATAAACTTCTGGGGAAGTAACCGAACACATATAGGAGGTTGTGCGAAGAACAGTTGTGTTTGGGGGTAAAGAAGTAACTGAATAAGGGGGAGGTGATCATCAAAAATAGGGCATAGGCGTAAACCTGGCGGTTAGAAACACCGGACATACTCACCCGTTCACAGGGTCCGTTAAAAATGGATGGGTTTTCACCCGTTCACAGGGGCGCCATAAGGAAGATGAGGATCATGGGGATCTAATATAGACTTTTTGGTTAGTGGGATCATGGATTACATATGGACTTTTTTTTGGATTATGGGATGATTTTTTCTGACTTTTTCATCAGGAATTTTTCCCTGAATCATTCCAATTTTTTTCGAGGAAATCCCATGATGGGATGATTCATGGGATGATTACCCTCTGGTAAACGTTTACAAAAAGCTATTGAAAATGGCCATTGAAATAGTGGATTTATGTGGATTTACCCATTAATAGCATGGTGATTTTCCATAATTTTTTGTATGTTTACCAGAGGCTAATGGGATCCTCTTCCCAGCCATTTCCCAGTTTTCCCATCCGCCGTGAGGTCGAGAGCTTGTGCTCCCGGAGACGGAAGCGCGCTTTCTGATCGAAGCGGCGAGTCGCTTGGAGGTGATCCATACACGGAACTCTCAAGACGGATGGAACATACCCTCTGGTAAACTAACATAGCTATGGAAAATGACCATTTATAGTGGATTTTCCCATTAAAAATGGTGATTTTCCATAGCTATGTTAAATTACCAGAGGGTATCTGGACAATTTTTGGATTTTGAAATGGAACATTTATATATACATTATATACATATACATATACATACATATACATATACAAACATATATATATATATGCACCCAAAGATGGCACTTTCAAGATTGACAATTGATAGATATGATGGGATAGGATATAATGATATAGCGATATATATATATAATATACATATACATATGTAATATTTTACCAACATCAATATTATGATGAGCTTTGGGTATGTACCAAAATGGGTGATACCAACACATGGACATTTCAATGCAGAAATTATGTTTCGCCATGAATTTTGGGTGATTGATTTATCAAACAGGGGATATATGTATATATATATATACAACCATCAACTGTAGTTTTTTTTTTTTTCTGAGTTTCTGACTATCAAAGAAAGGTGAGGATAATTTTTACTATATACCACTGTTGAATTGTTATTGGATAGGAGGTTATACTTCTTGATTGATATGGGGATGATCAGACATCAACCAGCACAATGGGTTTGGATAGGGGTATTTTCATGGTATCAAAAAAGGGCATTCTCTCTATTAAAAGTTTCAGATACAGAAATGGTGCATAACAACCATCAGAAATGGGGATTAAAACTCTGCCAAAACGTGGTGAGGATACGGAGACTTTGGAAACCATTGGTTGTTTTTTTTGTACCCTGATAATATGGACTCTGACTACTGAAGATCCAAAACACTTGTTTTGTTTTAAAGTATGGAATATGGATTATAGGTGCTATCCACCCACAACCCTCTTATCAGTGGTTACTGCACAATATCAATCCACAGTCGTTGGGTTTGTCTCAAAACAAGGAATTGACGGCCCGTGAGAGAGGTAATTGCAGACAGCATTTTCAGAGTGAGGGATAAAATGACCCGAATTTGAGGGTGCCAACCATGTCATGGGGCTCATGGTAGTCATCCACGTCCTCGGCGCCATTGGGGCCAGCTTAGCATGCTTGACTTCACAACATAGATAGACAGATCGGTTAAGTAAGGTTAGGTTAGAAATGAGAGAAGCTAAACTAAAAACATACATGAATGGATGGAGGCATGGATGCATGGATGCATGGATGCATGGATGCATGGATGCAGGGATGCATGGATGCATGGATGCAGGGATGCATGGATGCAGGGATGCATGGATGCAGGGACGCAGGGATAGATAGATAGATAGATAGATAGATAGATAGATAGATAGATAGATAGATAGATAGATACATAGATAGATAGATAGATAGATAGACAGATAGATAGATAGACAGACAGACAGATAGCTAGCTAGCTAGGTAGGTAGATAGATAGATCGATAGATAGGTGGATAGATAGATAGACAGACAGATACATAGATATGATATGATATGGTATGTTATGATATGTTATGATATGATAGGATAGGATAAGGTAAGGTAAGGTAAGGTTAGTTAGATAGACAGGATAGGATAGGTTAGGATAGGGTAGGGTAAGGTAAGGAAAGGTAAGATAAGATAGCTAGATAGATTGATTGATAGATAGATAGATTGATAGATAGATTGATAGATTGATAGATAGATAGACAGATAGATAGATAGCTAGGTAGGTAGGTAGATAGATAGATAGGTGGATAGATCGATAGGGTTCCACCATGTTCAAGACGAATTGAAGTGAGAGCTGAAGGACCAAACCTTGGGGTTCTCCATGACCAGATGGGTTTCTTCCAAGATGCCTGCTGCATCACGGACCGAGGCTTAAGATCAGAAGGTGGCAGAACGGTGACCATTCTGGGTGGTTCAGGCGTGCCACCGATGCATAAAAAAACTGACTCGTCATGGTACAGTCAGGGCATAGCTGACATAGCTGACGTAAGCAGACAACGAAGGGGTCAACCAGTAGCCAAGACAAGGCCGCTGGTGGGAGCCCTTGGGATCTCTTGGGACGACTGAAACTGGGAGCCCTTTGATTCACAGGGAGCCGCTCAGGTCGACAGCCCCTGCTGGTGGCGTATTTACAGGATGATCCCGAATGCCGTCGTTGTCTGCTCGCTTTCCCTAGCGTTTTCTTCGGGAAAACCTTGGCTTTTACGGTTCTTCATGTCTTAAACGCCACTAGTTTTAAAGGCTAGAACAGTTTGCTCTACTGTTCTTCATTGGAGTAATTTGACATACTTAGACTTTTTGAATTTGCCGACACTCTAGTCACTGCCATCCCCAGCAGAAAGTATGGTAATAACTAATAACCATGTTTTTTTGGGCCGGTGCACCCCCCACCACACCCCTGTTTTTGAGAAGACGATCAGTATTCCAAAAGGTTTGCTTTAGTAGGGGAACCCAGCATTTTCAGGCTATCCGATTGTTCAGCAAGGAAAGTAACTACCATCCAAGCATGGCTGGAACATGTTCAGTTTTGATAGGATCATCATCCAAAATCACGGAATTTTCCATTGTCAGGTTTGAGGGAAATGGCTTGTACTGGATTTATATATTACCACCACAAAACAAACAGGGACCTGTTTTGTGATACAAAAATTGCAGCCCACATACCAAAAGAGAATCAAGACATTTATGATTCTTGCCGGTTGCATCCCAAGATTTGTTCATTATTGTTATCGTTACCAGTTTTAGTTCTCACTATCTATCACTTTTATTCTTATGATTCATTATTCTTATTAGATTAGTCTAGTAAAATTATTGGAATGATTGGCATTCTTGGAATGATTTCTCTTCAACTTTGCTAATTCTAATCATAGTAACCATATTTAAACATATTTAAACAGTATTTCTAGTGAGTTCGAAGCTCGCGAGGACCACGGACCCAAAGGCTTCCAGCTCTGGTTGCACTCCATGGGACAAAACTCCACGGTGCTCGACACCCCACGTGCTGTGGTGGTTCCTGGTAGGTGGGGGTCCCCCGTCCCCTGACGTCCCATGGCTCCCGGTACGTTGGAAAAACACTCGTAAAAACCATGGTTTCAACCATAGATTTCCCCTCAAAGCAATCCGTTTTTGATGGTTCATGGGGAGTTGAATATATTTGAATGATGTAGCTTCAAGAATGGGCACTTCATCATCCATGAGGATTATCTATGACCTTGGGGTCCACAAATGGTGGAATTTCAAGTCCGGATGCATGTTGATCCCTCGGCTGTTCCACTCGCAGATTCTCATTTTGGGTGGGATTTCGCCTTAGTAAACCAATCAGGCTTTAGGGATCCTTGGGGCATGGTGCACCAACTTGCGAGGATGACCCTTGGAATATCTACCCTCTGGTTGTGACTAACATAGCCACGGAATCCATGGAAGCCATGGCCCTAATCGAAATAGATGCTTTACCGAACTTAAAAATGGTGGATCTTTCCGTGGCTGTTAGTCATAACCAAATGGATAGCCATTTTGACATCGGATTTAAGGGCAACTTTCTTCGTCCAAAGTTGTGCCACTGGAACAGACTGGAACGGATGTGCCCACTGACCGGGAGCCACCGCCAGTGCTGCTAGGTCAATGGCCAACTTTGAAATTTATGACAGAGATTTGAAGTTTGGAGTCCCAGACTCCGATCGTTGCTGTTGGTGCTGTGGTAAGATTCTTCACTCGGCATCTGACCTTCCACGCCCGGGCAGAAGAGCCGAAAATTTCTATCACTTCCCTCCTGAAATGGCTATCTTCGGGGATCCCATTTCGTGGACAAGGCCAGATAAAGGGAGCTCTCTTTTTTTCAGAGAAAGTACAGTTTCAACTATATAGTGATACGCTTAAATGGAGGTTTCCTGAAATGGAGGTAGCCGGTAGCCCTGTTCATCCATTTTTCTTTGGGATTTTCCATGAAACCATCCAGCTATTTTTTGGTACCCCCATGACTATGGCACTATGGACCCCAAATCACGGTGAAGATCTCTCCACTCCGAGTTTCAGCCTTAGGCTTTACGGCGAGTTGGAGAGCAGTCACCCAGGGCGTTTGACTCTGTGGCTCGGCTGTCGAAGGTGGAGGCAAGTTGTCCAATGAGAACGCATCCCAGTAGAATACTATGGGGAGATTTGACCATCACAGACAGTCACAATACAATATATATATATATTTAAAAAAATCACATTATGATGGCTACTTCCACGGGAAAAATGATGATACATCATGGAATCTCAGAGGTCCATATGCCATATGCCATATCCCAGTTTCAGACTGCACACAGAGCAGCGAAAGTCGTATGACAAGAACCACAGCTGGGTGTTTGCCAATATATCTACACTGATCATAGCGTTGAGGCCGCTTTTGAAATACGACATGCACAGAGAAATCCGTAAAGACATCGATTGTAGCAGATTGCGTGTATATGCTTCTTGATTTTTGAATGGGTAGATGGTGAAGTCCTTCAATCAATGCTTTGTGAAAGGTCGGGGTGGGGGTTGGCTTAGCTGTTGCACAGCAACCGCCTCAGCCGACAGAGTCATGTCGGAAACCCCATGTCATAAACCTACCATTTAGATCCATTTAGGGGAGAACTTAGGGGCAGGATGTACTGTTTGCCCGGAATGAATTGGATAATGTCTTGATGAATGGCTAAAACCGTGGTATTTCCCAGACAAAATCACTTTGACCATAAAATGGCGCTTCATCGACGAGAGCTTTGATAGTTTAAGGGAGGGATCCAGCTAGTCATCTTGGGGATGCTTTGTTGTTTCTATCGGGCATCTCTTCAAATATCCCAGTGATGTAAGGGGGCAGCAGTCCAACGGTGCAGGAACCAAGTGCGATGCTTCATCACTAGCTTCGGGGGGGCGTTTTTTTTTTGCACCTGAAGTTCCCTTCCCTGTGCTACAACATCAGTCTTGGATCAAATTTCAGGCTACCTTTTATCAACCGTTGAGATTCGGGGATACCCAATTTTTAGACAAGCCCAGAGGTTTCCACAAATAGGGGTACCCCCCTGTTCATCATCCATTTTTGCTTGGGATTTTCCATGAAATAAACCATCCAGCTATTTTTTGGTACCGCCATTTTGGGAAACCTCCATATGAATTATGAATGTTGGTAATGTTGGTAATGTTGGTATTTTTTCTATTCACCATCGATTGGGAACACACCGACCTTGGAGGATGTGCAATGGTTTCCCAGTCTTGGTCATCGACGCGACGAGCGATGAGTGGGAAGCCCAGCGGATCAAAGGAAGCAGTTGGACCGTCGATTGCAGGCCCTTTCATTTCCAGTATCAATCCGTTTTCCTCACTAAAGCATCCAATTGTAGTTTCATATTCTTGAAGAATATTGTTCAATCTTGGGTATTAGATGAACGGTAGGGATTTCTGGGAACCGGTATGACATAAAACCCTCGGCAAAAGTAGGTCTTTGAGATAGCACTTCTAAAACGAAAGATGTCAAGATAGAGGATTGTTGTTTAGCAATTAATTATGCGTTTGTTATGAACATCTACTCAATCTTTTCGTAATGGATGTGGTTAAGGCTATGAGTCTCTTCAATTCTGAGGATCTTCCTGGCATTTTTCCGCATGGAATCGCTCAACAATTTCTCGTTGAGTTGAAATGCGGGACTTTTGCACTACTTACCACTATCCATTCATCATTAGATCAATCACCACATTTTCAATCATGATAAATCTCCACATTTTTCAGTTTCATGCTCGTTTGGTTGAGGAGTAGCGTTTTTTTTTTTTCACTTCCTCGTTCTCAATCTCTAGAGATCGATGTTCCAGTTATATAATGGCAAGTATGCGGTGTTCACACTTGCATATAGTCATATAATAGGTCAATTTCATGATCAATAAAGATTGTGAAAACCAGTTCCAACACTCCTATTCTATGCTAGTTCCACTTATGAGTTCTCCTATTTTGATCACCAGAAAGCCGTTGGTTTTTTTTGGGTTCCAGTGCTGCAACCCTTGAGGCTGCACTACAACGCCTGCCAGATGGACGGAAGGATGTTGGCCACTGGGCGCCTGGCCCCGGATGTGCCGCAGCACGTGCTGGCGTCGCTCGGCCGGGAAACGTTGGTGGTTCAAAGCCATCAAGAAATGGATGATGACGAAGATGATGATGGTAGTGGCTTATTAATGTTAATGGTTATCTATGGTTATTAATGGTTATCTATGGTTATTAGTGTTAATATCCACTATCATATATTACTATCATTATTGATGATGATGATGATGAAGATGACGGGAGATGATGAAGATAGAACATAGGACAAACATCGATGATGCATTTTTTTTCTCACCAAGAATTTGGGGTAAACCGGCTGGATCGGGAGTTTAGTAGAACTTATATCTAAGATTGGGCCATGTTTTTGGGGGTTGGGGGTGATGCCTCAAGTGAGACATACCAAACATACTCATCGTAGGTTGAAGGCAAGCAAGTTCGCTACTGTTGTCGTATGCTGTGCGAATGTCAACGAGAATGACCATAATCATAGTCATAGTGGTTGTTGCACTGCTGTGTGGGGAATTCCAGAAATCAAGATAATCAAGGCATATCAAGGCCATTTTCTCAAGAGGTAGGAGGTGGCATTATCATGTATGATCGATCATGCACAGTTTACGTTAATTCCCAAGAAAGCCCTTGGTTTTTGTTGCGAGACACTCCCGGTTTCCTGGGTCTAACTGGTCACTCGCAGCCCTGGCACCATGTTGATGAACTCAAGCTTCGAAGGAACATCACGGTTGAAGAAACAAGGCCCCAAGACCCCTGGCACTGAAGTCCAACAGGAAATAGTCCAACAGTGAGACAGGATCTATGCAGAGATCAGATATTCTGCTGTGGCCAGTCGTCGACTTCAGGAAATTGGGCGGCGAAGCTTGGCGCCTGCGAGTTGTAGCAGGCCGGGTACCTGCAAACATGGGGTAGGACAGATGTAGATGGATAATGGAATTAATCCCGTAGTTTTTTCTCTGCAAGATGTGTGTCAAAAGTTGGATTATGTACCGATATACCCATAGCAGATGGATCCATCGATCAATAAATAGGGATTGATTGTGACATATATATATAGACATATTCCATACATTTCCATACATATTGTATATATAATAAAATAAAATAAAATATAATATAATATAACATAACATAATATAATATAATATAATATTATATAATATTATATTATATATATATCCATGATGTTTTGGATTTCCTAATTATGGGATGACCATGATCTATTCATCCCATGTAACTTGGCCATGGCACATGGATCGTTCGGAGGTTGCGATGCCATCGTCGTCCTGTCCACGATGTTGACCGCCATGCTGATGAAACGCTTTCGGCCAGGGCTGCACGTGGCATGTGTTGATGCGGTTGATAGGAACAATGGCGAACGGCGAACAGATATTAAGTGCATGATGGTGAAAGGATTGTTAGTGGTAGTGGTGAATAGATTGTTCATAGTGGTAATGTTCATAGTGATGAATGATGTGCAGGTGAAAGGATTTACTGTAGGATGTTCATAGTGGTAATTATCCAGGCACCTACGCCTCAGCATTGGAACAATGGCCAAACGGAGCGAAGCAATTAGCACGTCCAGTGATGCAATGATGAGCACAAACTTAGTGAGTATAACCAATATTAGCGTGAACTGTATAATAGTTATAACTATTTGACCACATTGAGCACGTCTTGTGATAACTTCGTGGTCTGTGGATGGGAATGATCACGGTGATTGTTGGTTTCAATAATATCATATAATATTGGTCTTTGACAAGAATCCACTTTAGAAATCCTCAAATTCAACAGCTGAACATCTCAATTTGCTCGCGCTGAAAACAAAGAAATCATGTTTTGTGCAACAAGATGCAAGCAGCGCCTCAGTCTGTTCGTATGTGAATTTGGATATGGGTTCCAGATTGGTTCATCTAGAATTTGTCACCTTCATCCCAGGACTTGGCCCTCAACATCTTCCTTTCTCGTCACAAAAGGGGGGTTACTTTCCCAAGTTGAAAAGAAACAAAAAACAACATGATGTTGATGTTTTTTTTCCACTAAACAGCACTATAAGGGTTTGTCTGAAAATAGTGTACCCCTAAACCCAATGGTTTTGCTGATCAGACAATCCCTATTGAATGGCTATTTGTTTGGGAATATACCCTATTTTCAGACAAACCCAATAAGGATCTATAAGGTACTGTAAATATGTATGTTTACCTTCCAAGTCTTCCATCCGCTTGCCAGGTCCGCTGCATCTTCCATGCCTCCCAGTGCCAAGCCCTCCATCATTCTGGGCTAGGCGTTGACCCTCGGAGCCTCGAGCTCTTGAGACCTGACCCAAGTTCCACATCTATGGTCTATGTATGCTGGGTACAATCACCAATACAAGGAATATAAGGAAGAACCACAAATTTCGATGGCTGAATAGCTGAAAATAAGGTGCCAGGACAGATTTTGGTTTTCTTGGTCAAAATATCAGAGGATTTTGCCAATCCATTGATTTTGGCGAGGCCTTTATTGTTTTGGTGGGATGTCATGGCCAGGTGTAGCTGCCGCAGATTCGATTAAGGTAAGCTGATCGATTTCTGTGGGAGAAAAAACGAGAAAATCATTGGATGGGAAGAGGGTTGGGAACACTGCAGAAACCTTTTTTTTTGCTGCGAAAGTGGAAAGAAGAAATCAGAGAAATCAGACTACTTGATTGATTTGTCGATGATTTGTAAACTAAGTATAAGAAGCAATTGACTTGATCTTGGGTAATTCTGTTGGCAATTTTTACTAGAGGACGGATACCCATATAGGGATAATGAGAACCAAACTCTATCCAATATAGGCTATAGGCTGATAAGCAGGTCAATTAATGCGGTATGTCCTGGTATGGTTTGACAACATGGAATATTCCAATAGTTTTTTTCCAATTTATTTCCAAATCTTATTGCCTGGATTAAATTATAAATTTAATTTATTTTGAATTTATTATATTATTTTGAATTATTGTAATTAATATAAATATATAATAAATATATTAATTTTAATTTTTAATATATATAATTAATTTATAAAATTAAAATATATTAATATTTATAATATTTTTCATCGAATTTAATATTAATATATAACATATAATTAATTTATAAAATTTAATAATTTAATATTTATTATTTTGATCGAATATAATATTGATATATAAATATAAAAAAAATGTTATTTAGTAATATTAAAATAATAAATTCGAAATTTGATTTAATAAT